CATCACATTTATGCTTTATCGTTTAAAATCACTTAGATATGACAGGAGATAAGAAAAATTAAAAGTTTGTTTTCATTCTTAAAATTTGACCATTAAGTTGTTTGTAAGATAAAAAGCCTTTTGGAATTGGTCAGGCCCATGCCACTAAGTACACATTTCAAAACTGACTTTTTAGAGGCAGCCACAATCATCCACTTTTTCCCCCAAAATCCTATCACATAGGAATAAGATAGACTCTTCTCACAGACCAGCCACATAAGTAATTTTAGCCATGCAGCTGCAACCTTCTTATATTAAAATCTCATTTTACCATCAAAACTTAATTATATGTGAGATCTCTATATGGTAATCAGAAGCCACTTGTTATGGGGCATCTGAAGAGAGGGCCCCAAGCACTGATGTTAAAACTATCTGGCTGAGTGGAATAGTGAAGGTTAGGTTTCTGTTGTATCTCCAAATGAATTACCATGTTTCTCAGCCACAAGGGTTCTAAGTCCCTAGGAGTGGCAGCTATGGATTCAAAGAGGGATAACGTGCAAGCAGATTTGCACTCCCTCTGAAAAAACACTAGCAACTCCTTGATTTCACCCCAAAGCACCATGGAGTAGTGAAAAATGCACAATCACAAGGTCAGAAGATAGGAGATATAGGTGAGCCTAAGCAATCCCAAACAAGTTATTTGTCTTTTCAGGCTGGAGCTGTTTAATGCTAACCATTTTTAAGTTAAACCAAATAATCTGTTAATTCTTTCAAGTTCAATATTCTATTAATTTAATAGACCCTTTATTCATACACCTCCAATTCGCTCACAACCCCCATTAGAATTGTAAAACAATTAAAATTTAGAATTAGGAGACTGGGAGCAAGAGTGAAATACAAAGATGGTCAAACCTGGACTGTAATCCTTGCCTTCCCTTTCTACCTGCATGACTCTGGGCAAATTACTGCACCTCAAAATAAAGTTGTAGGACCAATGAAACAGCAATCCTTATTGGTCATGCCCTTAAATTCCTGTGTCGTAAAGTGAATTTTTAAAAACAGAACTGGGATTTCATTCCTAACCAACAACAATTTTTGCTTCATTCTTCGATATTTAAAACAACCTTGTGCATTCTTCTTTTCTAAATTATCTGATGCTGAATGCAATGGTCTAACATATTTCACCTATCTTACAGCTATATTCAAGACTCAGATTATTTGTCAAAAACGCATTGAGTAAATGGTTTTGAGCATTTGCACCACACTGTGTTAGAGTTGCAAAGTTCTGTTCCCTTAAGAAGCCCAAAAATCAGGCTGGGCACAGTGACTCAAGCCTGTAATCCCAGCACTTTGGGAAGCCAAGGCAGGTGAATCACCAGGTCAGGGGTTCAAGACTACTCTGACCAACATAGCGAAACCCCACCTCTACTAAAAATACAAAAAAATTAGCCGGGTGTGGTGGTGTGCAACTGTAATCCCAGCTACCAGGGAGGCCGAGGCAGGAGAATCTCGTGAATCCGGGAGGCAGAGGTAGCAGTCAGTCGATATTAAAGCCATTGCACCCTGGCCTGGGCAACAGTAAGAAACGCCCTCTCAGAAAAAACAAAAAAACGAAGAAACCAAAAAACCTGGTGGAGACAGACCTACAAACAAATCATTAACTACCAGTCATCAAATACTAACTGCAGAATGTACGAATCAGTTAAGACAAGAGGGATGAGCTGTCTAGACAAGCCTCAGAGATAACACTTTAGTAAGGTCTTCAAGGGCAAGTTGTTTACTAAGTAGAGAATTCTCAACAAAGGAATACTGAAAAACCACAGAGGAAGATGTCATCTTCAGAGAACTGCAAGCAGTCTTACACGGAGAGGGCAGGCATAATGGTAGAAGATGACACTAGAATCTTGACAAATACCACTAACATGAAGGACTTTGAATTTCATCGATATAGACCATGGAGTCACTGAAGGACTTCTAAATATGGATTCAAAGTCCTTTCTTCCACCATACAGTCAAAGGAGTTGAGTCAAAGCAACAAAAACGCGGGTCTGAATGCGGAAAGGTAGAATTTTTACAGAATTCTTAATGGAGACTTTGCTTGCTTTCAGGATGGCTTCTAGCGCCTTCTTAACTATGGTTTATTAATACGATGCTGAAGTACCACAGTATGAATTATGGCTAAAAGTTTCAACAAAGTGTGCATTTTTAACCTGAAGATTATTTGAACCCAATGTGTTGAGAACACAAACGAAAACAAAAAATAACAGTAAAGAGTTTTCATAAATTAAGAGAAGCAAACAGTAATGAAGTCCAAGAGAAAGAACACTGATTTCAGGCAAACACTCAGGAATATTTACATCGTTATCACATACTGATGATGGATAAGATGTTTTGCACCTATCTTTTGCAGGAGAGCATCTTAAGTTTCTTTCGGTTAAAGAGTAGCTGCCATCTCTAAAGTCTCTAAACGAGTCTAAAAGAGGATGCTCTAAAAACACTGGCCAAATTTATAGGCTCTGCTATATGTTAATGCTCGGGAAAAAAGGAATGCCTTTTTTTCTTTTTCTTTTCTTTTTTTTAAGACGGTGTTTCACCATGTTGGTCAGGTTGGTCGTGAACTCCCGACCTCAGGTGATCCGCCCGCCTTAGCCTCCAAAGTGCTTGGATTACAGGCGTGAGCCACTACGCCCAGCCAAAGGAATGCCTTTCATATGGCCATTTTGAAAAGCTTAAAGCTCAATTTCTCATCTATAGGAGTGAGCAACCAACACTCTAATCTGAGACCACAGAATCCTTGCATCAGTCATTTCCACCCCGCTAAGGCCTAGCCTGGGAGCAGCCAGCCTCATTGGCCGCGGAGCCCACACACATGAATATGCAATTATTGAAATGAAAACTTAAGCTTTGCCACCAAGGGCCACCACGAAGGAGTCCTTTCATTCCTCCTTTTACTTTCGCAAGAAAGTAGGTGCAGTAAAAAGAAAATGTATGAAAATACATGTCTAAAGAGAAGAGAGAAGATCTGAACCTACGCAACGGTGTGCCCCGCCAAAGTTTCACCTCAGGATGTGTTTTAGGGTGTGTCTTTGATTTAGCCCTGCAATTAATAAAAAAAAAAAAATCCCACTCCTTCGGGGCGCCCCGGTACTTTCCTCATCCACCCTCACAAGCTACCAGGCTCTGAAATCACTGAGTACCTCAGCCGCACCCTGATTTCCCCTGAGAGACAGCGGCGCCCGCGGCCCGAGGTCCCGCGCAGTTACAGCCGCAGGGACGGCGTCCTCCCGCCTCCCAGGTCCGCGCCCGCCCCGCGTCCGCGGGGAGCTAGAGAGGCTCACCCTGGAGGCCGGGGGACAGGAGGGCGCCACCACCTCAGCGCGGGAGACCTGGCCTCCGTCCCGCCCGGGATTGTGCGCCTAGTCCTGGGCTGCCCCAGAGCCCGCGGCGACCCCGGCCCCGACTCGGGCCCGGAGCCCCGCTCTTACTGTGCGGAGGTCGCGCTGCCACCTATGCCGAGGACCGGCAGCAGGCCGCCCAGTAACCTGCGGGCCGGAAGACGGAAGGTGAAGCTAGGGCCGCCCGTCACATCTCTGCAGTCCCCGCAGCCGTAGCCGCAGCTCCCAGCATCGCGTCCACGGTCTGAGGGAGCGCCGGACTCCAAATCCACCGCGCCCGTTCCTCTACCGGCGCCGGCCTGGACTCCTCCCTCCAAGGTCGCGAAACCGCGCAGCCCCGCCCCGCCGCGGACCAGTACGCAGGCGCGAGCCTCAAGGGGCTACGGTGCCCGCCCCACCCCGTGATCCGGCTGAACCCCGCCTCCGGCCCTGCCCCGCCCTCGCGCCCTGCTTTCCCAAGCTCCGCCCCACTTCGGGCCCCGCCCCCTCCACTGACCTTGCTTGGCTGCCTCCTGACTCAGGTTTCCGCTCAGCCCACGCAGTCTTGCGGTCGACCTCACCTCTAGCCGTCCCTTGGACTACATTTGCTGTTCGACCGTGGTCAAACCTGACAGCTCCTTCTCCAGGATGTGAAAAGTGAGGAGCGGTCTGAGCATTGGGCCTGACTGAACCACGCACCTGCCTTCCGCTTCAAAACACAGGTCCTTGCTAAGGCTGAGAGGAAGGGACACCTCAAATGCTGATCTGGTTTTCTCTCTCTCCCTCCCTCCCTCACTCACTCACTCCCTCCCTCCCTCCTTCCTTCCTTCCTTCCTTCCTTCCCTCCCTCCCTCCCTCCCTCCCTCCTTCCTTCCTTCCCTCCCTCCCTCCCTCCCTCCTTCCTTCCTTCCTTCCTTCCTTCCTTCCTTTTTTTTGAGACAGAGTCTCGCTCTATGACCCAGGTTGGAGTTCGGTGGCGCTGTCACAGCTTATTGCAGCCTCCTGGGCTCAAGCGATCCTCTCACCTCAGGCGTGCATCTCCACGCCTACGAAATAATTTCATCTAAGACCACACTGGTCAAAATAAACTATCACATATTGACCTAAATACACAGCTAATTTTTATATATTTTTTTTAGAGACGGGGTGGGGGGAGTAGTCTCACAGGGTAGTCTCAAACTCCTAGGCTCAAGCCATCCTCCCACCTTGCCCTCCCAAAGTGCTGGAATTACAGGCGTGAGCCACTGGTCCTGGCCTATTGGTTTTCTTTGCCAGAAACCAGGTCCTTTGAGGTGTTCATCTCCCAGAGGCCATCTCTTCCCCTCTTTTCTTCCTCGACCACGGCCAGCCCTGCCCCTGAGAGCTCTCAGCCTGGAAGCCTTCCGGGCCTGGCCGGCTATTTAAAGCGCTGGAGCTGCCCTTATCTGGTTGTACACTTGCAGTTCTCTTAAATCCTTGTCCGCCCCAACAGCTCAATTGCAATAAATAACATTTCAGGAGAACTGCTTGAAAAATAAAAGTTCTTTCATGTCTGCAGATCAGTGATACTCAAAGGGAAAAGCAGACGGAATGCCTGATTTGTATGAGCACATTTCATTTAATAATATACCTGTATATTTAGAAAATAATGTAAATAGCAGTCCTTAAAAGATTTTATTGGACAAAAATGTGAGTGCCCAAAATGTTAAGAAAGACATCTGAGCGCTGTGCAATTTCTCTTTGAATTAAATGAGATTAGAAAAGCAAATACCAGGCTAGGTGTGGTGGCTCATGCTTGTGATTCCAGCTCCATCCTTCCACATCATTGCCCCTATTTCTGAGGTGCACTGGGAGGCTCCCCTTCTATTTGGAGCTTGATGACTTTCTTTTTGTAGCTGGAGCTTTGGTGTTCCTTCCAGTGTCATTTCTCATCCACATACCTTGACCTGGTCCCCTCAGTGTTGTCACGAGATCCGATTTGTAATCTACTGAGAGGACAGAGGGAAATAAGTGCCCCCTCCCCCCCTCTTCCTAATGATCTCTCTATGCCTCTCTTCAGCCTCTTGTCTCTTTTACCCTGACCCCTCTTCCTTGGGCTCTGATGAAAAATTGCTGACTGTAGCTTTGGAAGTTTAGCTCTGAGAACTGTAGATGATTTCAGTTCTAGGAAAATAAAACCCATTGATTACAAAAGAAAAAAAAAGAAAGGAAGAAAGAAAGGACCTTCGGGTCCTTTCCCTGGCATGGTAAGTACTCATGGAGTGTCAGCCACCAGCACAAGCCAGTCAAAGACAGCCTCTGGTAATATGGGGCTTAGCCTGCACATTGCTTTAAAATGTTTTAAGGTTCATTGCCAATGTTGAAAAATCAGGACAATTTGTTTAAATCCAGATGTCAGAAGATGAGGCCTTACCAGGCTGCCTTCCTACAAGGTTCAAATTTGCAGAGCTCGGGGGATTTTGGATCTTTGCCCAGGACACGTGCTCTTCTGTCAGCTGCAGTGCCTGTGTTCGCTGTGGATCCTTTGGGCCTCTGGATTTGTGACTAGAGCCATCCTGGGTCCCCAAGAGAAGGAGACAAGGCCAAACACATCAGCATCCTCACCTGTGCTCGGGGAGAGGCATGGAGGAAGGCAGTTTGGCCAGGCTGCTTTCAAGGATGGCTTAAGCTCAAGCCCTGCATCCCCAAGGCTTCCTGGAGGAGGGAAAGGTGGGCTTGGGCATGGCCACCCTGGCCTGGGTTGGCAGGAGATGGGAAGGGCTGAAGCAGCACCTGGTGGGGTATGACCACAGTCCCGCCAGAAACTACTTACTTCAGAAGCCCCATGTCTGCCCACACCCTGAATTCCCACTCATGGGGTGGGCTTGGAGAGACTCATCACCTTCGGGCTTTTTTGCCTATGTTCCCAACCACCTTTCAGATCTTTGTGCCCTGTGAACAGACACTGCATGCAGGGCCTCTCCTCTGCCCTCCTTCCCACCCACCCCACAGCCTCCCCTGCACCCCTGCCTTCCTTTAAGCAACTCAACTGCCTCTGGGAAGAGAGGACAAAGGGAGTGGCTGAATCCTGTCTGAAGTCAAGGTGGGCCTTTGGCACAGTCACTGAGCTTGGATAGGAATCAAAGTCTGCCCATCCCTGGCAGTTGGCCTGGCAGAAGTTAGACCACAGCCCTCAAAGGCCTAAATCCTTCTCAGGCTTGCTTTGCTCTGCCCAATCCTCAGGGTGTCCCTCAAGCTCTCTGCTGATTTTCTACAATGAATATGTACCACTTTTGGAATCACAGAAACATGTAAATAAAAATGTTACTTCTACCTCCTTCAGTGTTTTATCCCTGGCTGTAGTCGTGTGTTCCCTGCAGAGCCCATGGGTTTGTGACACTAATTCAGGAGTTCCCATTATGTATATATGCAGGAGTCCCTGAATGTATATCTGCAGCTCTTACAGAGTCAGCACTTTGGGAGCAGATGTGACAGTACTTTGGAGCATCAGGGAAATGGAGATGGTGGGCAAGGTGACAGAGGAAGTCTGATGAGAAGGCGCAGCTGACCCAGGACCATGGAGGCAGGAGAAAGCAAGCTCCGTCCCACAGAGCAGAGGGGAGAAATAGATAAGCCCCATCAGTCTGACTTTGCTGAACGTCCTTCCCACCAGCCTTCCTCTCCTGCCCCCTTCCCAGGCTCCTCTGGAGCAAGTGCTCACTTTTTCTTGGGCATCCCTAGGTCTTTTTTCTTCATTCACTTGTGTCCCATTAATGCCACCCCCTGCAGACACAGTGAGTTTTAGGGGGACACACCAACAAGGTGCCCACGTTAGTCATCACAGACACCACAATGCTCTCTCCAAGTTCCGTGCAGCCCTGGAGAACTGGGGCCACAGGTGGAAAGGGGAACAAGAGCAAGGTGTGAAGACCGAGTATGGAGAAGTCAGGAAGGAAAAAATAAGTGTGAAAACAGCAGAGACAGTGCCAGAGCCTCATCTGCAGAGCACAAGGGCTCAGGGCATCTTCATCGGAGGCCCGGAGAATCTGCCCAACCTTCCCTTGTCCTGGCCTCTGGCCACACTCTACACTAAAGAACACACTGATACAGACCCACAGACTGGACTTGGAAGGGGCCACCAGGGGGCAGGTAGATATCCATAACCAGCAAGCACCAAGCACCAGAAAATGCCACCTCCAGCAATCACTTCCTTATTCGTAAGCCAGCATCCATTTCACCCCTGAATCCCTGTCTGTGTTACTTCTGACATATTCACCTATCCATCCAATACGTATCTACCAAACAGCTGCTGTGTGTCAGACACGTGCTTGATGTGACGACGCAGTACCAAGATCCTTTCCAGATACTGCTGGAAAATGTCCACTGTCTCTTTATCTCTTCATTACATTTGTGAGTAAAATACAGGTGTTAACAATATGAAATCAAAGGTAGAAATTACAGTACAGCTGTGTCCAAGTAGGTGGAATCAGGTATAATAATGTAATAAGTGTTATCAAGACAGCCCAGAAGATTCCTTTAAAATCTCTGCAAGTCCTTATCACAAAACTAAACGCTTATCCCAGGCTCTAGATAAATTCAGCGTGTACTCTGTGCTTCACTGTGTAGTTGGTTTAATTGTATTTCAAGGGAATTATCCCCCATTGACTTTCAATGCGTAGCCAATTTTAGCCCCACTCTGGATTTTTTAAAATTTCCATTTGACTTGGGAACCATCTTTTTTTTTCTTTTTTCTTTTCTTTCTCTCTCTCTCTTTTAAGCCACCTAGTCCTCTGTAAGCAAACCACCATTATTTCTAAGAAGAGTTTTCCCTAAATTGCAATCCACATAGGAAGGCCCCATAACATGCACTCCTGTGGTGTGACCAGGCCCTGCTGTCCCCTCACTGGGTAGCCTTGGGAGTCAAGATCCACTCTGGTCCATCCCCTCTGTCATCTCAGTCCCTGGGGGCTCTGACACAGGAGAAGGTTCTCAAACATCATCGAAATTCTTTTCTCCACACTAGATGTTTGTGGTGGACTGAATGTTTGTGTCCCCTGAAATTCCTATGTTGAAACCCTAACGCAAAGTGTGGTTGTATTGGAAATACAGTTAAATGAGGTCATAACAGTGGAGGCCTGATCCCATAATATTGTGTCCTTATGAGAAGAGACACCAGAGAGCCTCAACTGTCTCTTCCCCCACCCCACGCAAACCTCCAGGAAAGAACATGTGAGCTTACTGTGAAAAGTTGGCCCAGCCCAGGGAGAGAGCCCTCACCAGACGCCAACACTGCCGGCACCTTGATCTCAGACTTTCAGCCTCCAGAAACCTGCGAAATAAATTTCTGTTGCTTGAGCCACCCAGTCTATGTATTTTGTTATAGCAGCTTTAACAAACTAATACAATGTTACATCAAAGCTTATCATTGAAACAGATGATAGTAGAGGGGACCAACAGCCTAGCTGGTGCCCCCAGCCTCAGAATATCCAGTGCCTCTTCTTCAGAACCCCAGCGTTGTATAAAACCCAATTTAAAAGTCATCAAATTTGGCTTCTAAGATTTCTCCCACTCTAAGATCCATTGACTCTAGAATATATTTATTTTGCAAAGAAATGTAAGGACAGTAGAATATTATCACCCACCTCATCTTCTCTCTGGGAAAGATGGCTCTGCCTATTGCCAAATGGACTTGACATCACAAATAAAGTAGCAAGTTGTAACCAAGGTAAGGGACTGGCCCCTTCCCCAGACCTTCACTGGCACAATTTTCCTGGGGAGGGAAAGGGCTGTGCATTTGATTGGCTAGCAAAAAAGTAGATACCAATTAGATATCACCTGAACTATACAGTATCTGTATTCCTCCCCCTGCCACACCTTATTTTTTTTTGAGACCAAGTTTCACTCTTTCCCAGGCTGGAGAGCAATGGTACAATCTCAGCTCACTGCAACCTCTGTCTCTCAGGTTCAAGTCATTCTCCTGCCTCAGCTTCCTGGTAGCTGAGATTACAGGCATCTGGCACCAAGCCTGGCTAATTTGGTATTTTTAGTAGAGACCAGGTTTCTTCAGATTGGTCAGACTGGTCTTGAACTCTTGACTTCAGAGGCCTGCCTTGGCTGCCCAAAGTGCAGGGATTACAGGCATGAGCCACCATGCTCAGCCTATATTTCCTCTTAAAAAGAAAAGGGATTCTGCAAGTTTTCTACATAGGTAAATAAATTCATTGGCAGCCGGGCATGGTGGCTCACATCTGTAATCCCAGCACTTTGAGAGGCTGAGGCAGGCAGATCACAAGGTCAAGGGATAGAGACAACTCCTCTAGCCAACATGGTAAAACCCAGTCTCTACTAAAAATACAAATATTAGCTGGGCGTGGTGGTGCACGCCTGTAATCACAGCTACTTAGGAGGCTGAGGCAGGAGAATTGCTTGCACCTGGGAGGCGGAGGTTGCTGTGAGCCAAGATGGTGCCATTGCACTCCAGCCTGGTGACAGAGGGAGACACTGCGTCAAAATAAATAAATAAATAAATTCATTGGCAAAGAGTTTGGTCTAATTTATTTGTATCTTTCTTTTTGCCACAAAATTAATAGAATTTCTGCTGTTCCCCCTGTCGGGGATACCCCAGTCCAATTCTCTCCAATACAAGCTCACTCTCCTTCCCACCACAACTGCCTCTCTTCTTGTGTTTCCTATCTTTGTAAATGTCACTACTATCTGTCCTGTCATCTAAGGTAAAAGAAGAGAGAAGAAGGGAAAAGCAGAGATCTGACATGCATAAACCCTCACTGGGGCCCACAGAATGTGAGGGTGGAGCAGTGCTCAGCAGATACCACGAGGTGGCAGTGCCCTCTCAATGATTGATGCATCCTGAGCTGCCAGCCCTGATGGTAGTGCCTCTCTGCAGAGCTGGGGGTCTCCTGGCAAGGCTGCTTGGGTGGATAATTGATTCCTGAAGGATTTATGACATGCTTTCCTATGCCTGCTCATGGTACGGAAGCCTGATGCTTAGCTGTTTCTACCTCAAATGATGACATGATTCCACATCTTTCTTAAAGGAAACAGAATGTCATGCCCATTGGCCAGAGGAGTCTTTGGCCCCATGGCCCCATGGAATTGGTCCCCTTTCTCTGCCTATAGAACAGCCATTGAATTTCTAGCCAAATCAAGGCATCCAAAGCCCCACACACCACAGCATTTATTTAAGAGTTCTGGGTCTGGGTTTTGTCTTTGTCTGACTGATAAGTCAGGGCAGTCCCTGGATTTCTCCTACCTGGGATTGTTCATCTGAAAAGTGGTGATGACTACCCCTGATGCTGCAATCATAGGTGGAAGCACACTGCACACTATGGGGTATGGGGCAAGAGGGTCCAGAGAAGCTGCCCACACCTCAGGTAGATGCATAATAAATGACATTTGGCAATTGTGAGCAGTGTTTCTAAGGTAACGAGGCCTCAAAAAGCCCTGGATGAAGGCCAGAGACATAATCCTTAAGTCTTCCCTCTGTTCTTGGTTGAGGTAACTTGCTGCTTCCCTCTTAAGCTGCTCCTTGGCCCAACACAACACACCTGCTCTTCCCTCCCTCCACCTGGCAGCTCTCACAATAGCCTCCATTGTCTCCTGCACAACATCCTCAGCTCAGCTGCCCTGCCCTCTGCAGCTGTCCAACACATGCACCGCCTTTGCCTTCTAGATGACAGCCAGCTTGGCAGACTGGAAAGGGCTCAGCTTTGGGTGTTGGAAAGCCCTGGGCATGAATCCAGGATTTACCATTTATTCAATGTGACAAAGATTCTCTGCTTGACCAAACTTGAGTCAGGCTCTTGAACCTTCTCCTACACCCATCTATGCACTTTCTTGTAACACCCAGTTGTAGCAAAGAACCCTATTAAGTTAGTTTAGCAAGAACCATCAGCCCCTCAATATCTGATCATGTTTCTCAGTCTGCCCTATTCCCCAGGTGATCTCTGATCACCCTGGCCTGTCTTCAGCAAGATTCTTGTTTGATAGGTTTAGCCAGAATCCCCTTTATTCTTGATGTTTTATCTTAGTAAATTTACATTCAGCAAATCACACCCTGATCCTGGGCTATTACTTCCCACTTGTCCATCTCTCTTGCCCAATGCAACATTCCATTGCAGCTGTCCCTACACCTATAGCATTGGTCCTGAATAAAGTCTTTACCATGCTTTCACAAGTGTTTTTGAATAGTATTTTTTAACCAATATCTAAAAAAGTTTGAACAAATTTCTTTTATCTGAGTTTGTTCCACATCCACAAAAATGGACCCATTTGGGTGGCATACTTTAAAGCACATGGTACATGGTAGGTGCTCAATCGATACTAGATACGTTCCATTGGGGACTTCATCATCTACTCTCACTCAAGAAAAGGGCATGTAGGAGAATTACCATAATTGACTGGCAATTACACACCACAGGTGTCCCAACTACTCCCTCATTTAATCCCTGCAACATTCTCAAAATCACAGTTCTCTACTGTGTTTGCACATTTGAATCACTTGGGGCCTGGTGACTCAGTGTGTTGTCCCTGCACCAGAAACCCCAACCTCATTTAGGGATTTGTTAGAAATGTCTCAGGGTTGGGCATGGTGGCTCATGCCTGTAATCCCAGCACTTTGGGAGGCTGAGGTGGGAGATCACTTGAGTCCAAGAGCTTAAGACCAGCCTAGGCAACATAGCAGGGCCTTGTCTCTGTAAATGCACACATACACATATACATACATACATAATGCATACATACATAAAATACAATAATTAAAAAAGAAATGTTTTGGGCCCTCAGGTCTCAGGGCCCAGCTCAGAACTCCCTAATCCAAATCCGTATTTCAACAACTCCCCAGAGGTGGTTTGCGCGCACCTTAAAACTTGTGAAGCACCAGAGAGCTTTACAGTTATAGCTGTCTAGGTCCCTTGTACAGAGATTCTGATGTAATAGGTTTAGAAGACTGGTGGGCTTGGGCTTTTTAAGCTCCCAGGTGATTCTAATGCTCAGCCATGAGTGAGAAACACCCCTTTTGGGAGATGGTATGAACAGTTCTGTCTCATGAAGAGTGATTTAGTTGAGTTTTACTCTGAATTATCTCTGAGGCCATTGTTTGCTGTTTTCTATGAATATATATTTCTCTCTAGATGTTCACTCCTCTTCACTTGCCCTTGTTCTATGGCTTGCTCTCATCTTTCTCTTACTAGTTCCTCCAAATTCCAAAGACCATAGGCCAGCAGGAGAGCCTCAGCCCAAGTCTTTTCATTTTATCCTCATGATATCCTCTACAAAATAATAGGCCCAGGGTTTTTAGCAGAGACATTAAAGCATAAGAGGCTAAAACTACTGCTTAAGGTCATACAGTAAATGAGAAAGCTTGGTTTCTGCCTCCGGGCACAGGGATTTTTGGATATCAATGCGGGCAGTGCAATCTAGGATGCTGTACGGAGCATGTCTCAAACTCTTAGGTGCACACAAATCACCTGGGATCTTGTTAAACACAGACTCTGCTTCAGTAGGCCTGAGTAGGGATCAATGGTGCATTTCTGCTTCTTTTTTTTTTTTTTTTTTGAGATGGAGTCTCACTCTGTCACCAGGCTGGAGTGCAGTGGCATGATCTCGGCTCACTGCAACCTCCACCTCCCAGGTTCAAGCAATTTGCCTTGTCTCAGCCTCCCAAGTAGCTGGGACTACAGGCGTGTTTTACCTCGCCTGCCTATTTTTTATATTTTTAGCAGAGACAGGGTTTCACTGTGTTAGCGAGGATGGTCTTGATTTCTTGACCTCGTGATCCACCTGCCCTGGCTTCCCAAAGCATTGGGATTACAGGCATGAACCTCCATGCCCGGCCCAAGGGTGCATTTCTGACAAACTCCCAAGTAAATCGATGTTACTGACGTTGCAGTGTGTTCAGCCAAAGCAACAGATTATGATCCTAGCTGCCCCTCTGTCACTTCCCAGCCTCTGACTGGGTGTTCATTGTCTCTGACCTGCCAGATGATTCAGATCAATGTTTCAAGTTGTGTCATTGGACTCAGCTCTGAAAACCTCTATGCCAGCCCTAAAGTGCCACTGGGGGGCACTCTGGGTGCCCCTCCCTATGGCATTTCCTGTTGCAGAGCAGCTGTTGGGTGTTCAACATTCAACGACAATTCAACAAATATTTACTGAGCCTACCTATAAATCAGGGACAAAGTTTAAACGGGACAGACAAGGTCCTCATGAGGGGCTTACGTTGTACTGACAACAAACAAGTAAATGTATAAAAGAGATCATTACAAATTGTGGTAAGCACTTTGGAGGACAAACTAGGGATCAGATAGGGAAGCTGGGAGAGGTGGTCAAGAAAGACCTCTCTGAGGAGGTGATATTCGAGCTGTGACTTAAAGGATAAGAATAAAGCAGTCAGGTGAGTGCAAAAGGGAAATATTTCAGGCAGGAGGAACAGCAGTGGGAAAGGGCATGGCTGTTCAAGGACCACGAAGAGGTATAAGGCTGGGGCAGAGAGCCCAAAGAGAAGCAACAGGAGACGCAGGGGCCATGTCCATCCAGTAGGACTGGCAGGGACGGGGAAGGAGAAGAGCGAGTTTTATTTGAAGAGCAAATGAAAATCTTTGAAAGGTTTTTAGCAGGAAAGTAATCAGATCTGGTTTCCATTTTTAACTGATCTCTCTGGCTGCTGTTTGTGGCTACATTGAATAGTAGAGGCTGGAAAGTGAAGTAGGGATTTTTACATTAGTCCAGAAGTTCAGACCAAGATGCTGCTGCCTTGAGCTAGATGGTGGTGATGGTAACAGTGAGATATGGCCAGATTTGGTGTACAGTTTTGAAAACAGGTGTTACATGACTTGCTAGTGGTTTAAGTAAGTTTATCAGTCTGGGTGCTTTTGATTTCAGGTAACAGAATATCTAAATATTAACTGTCTTTGAAAAATAAGCACAACTTACAGATTCACACAAATGAAAAGTGGAAGAGTGGAGGCTTCAGGCAAGGTTTGATCAGGACTCGTTTTCTTTTTCTTTTTTTGTAGAAGTAAATTTTTAATGGCTGGTTAATTAATCACTACATTTTATTGCAATGTAGTACTCATTTAAGCACTTAAAAATGGAAGATTTACAAAGATTAAATTAAGACACAGTAAATTGACTAAATATTTGTTTTTTATATAAATAAAGGTCATAACCACACCGTTGACATGTAATACTGTTATAATACAACAGTTAAACTTGCGAGTCTACAACAGAAGTCATCTGTAGTTAAACAGAAAACAAAGCTGGAAAAGACCATGTTAAAACAAACCTACTGGGACTAACAGGTTGGAATTGTAAGTAGCAACAAACATATTCACTCAGCTCCTGAGTATTTCAAGTTTTACAGTACACATGAAAAATGATTTCTTCCATCAACACTATAAATTCAAACTGTCGGATGTTTATGCATTTTGCAAGTTACACTGATTGAATGCTTATATGGGAGCAGGGGTTGGAACATCTCCCAATTTGAAGTTTACATCACCCACATGCTAACACAAACAAAACTTGTTCCATTTCCTTCCCCTCTTTCACCCCTCCCCCACAAAGAAGGCAGGATTTTTGGTTTCTTATAGGTAATTGTTTTAAAGAATTTGTGATGATCAATTTGAACATCTGAAATTCAGTAATATTTAACTCTTAGACAACTAAGAGGTTAAAGATGGAAAATAATTTCTCCTAACACTAAGTTAGAAAATCATTTGCATCATGCTGTAAACTAGGAAGCAATGTAAAGCGACAAAAACCTGTCCCCAGTACATAATTTTAAAAATCTAAATTTCAAATCAGCAGAGCTGGTCTATTTCCATGTTGACTATATGCCACAATATAAGTGTGAACTCTTGAAATGCATAGCTAATGTAGGTAGTCTTCCATTGCGGTGAATGCACAGGATCCAATTCCTGATGGAGCCATCAGTCCTAGACATTGTGTGGCCTGTCCCATTACTCGGGCAAGGGAGGTTGCTTTGGCAGACTCTGGGTTTCTAATATTGCACTGTTAAGAGCTGAGCACATAGGTTCTCTCTGAATTGGGTCAAGCTGATTTCCAACTGGGCTGTTCCAGGGATCTGACTATGCCTTCAACATTTTTTTATTTGCAGTGTTCTTGCCACGGTCTCTCCTTAGCTGTTCACTCATTGCTTGCAGCTCTCATCCAAAGTGGTCACTCTTTCTATGGTGGCCTGACTTCCTCCACACAACTGACATCTCATCTGACGAATCAACTTTCATTTTGGTGTCACAATCTTCCATTTCATGATCATGTTTAGAGCTACCATTTAGGAAACCATTGGATGAAGTTTCTCCAACTCCATTGGAGTAGTGATCTGTTTCCATGTCTACATCATTACTGGTGAAGTTATTAACTTGCTGTGATCTTGACATATTTATGCTGTTCAGTTCTGGTACATTCAAATTGGATGACTGGTGTTTATTACTATGGCAATATGATTGATGTGCTTTATTTGATATTACACCATTACTACAACTTTCAAAACCAGAAAAATGTGCAGTCCTTCCTTTGCCTGATGCTAAATTGTGGATATTCATTCCATGGCTGGGGATCATACTTGGACTACTAAAAGGTCGAGGACTAACAGGATAACTGTCTTGAGTCTTTGGACTTCGGCCTCCCAAACATCGTACTTCACTATGTGTACCATTCACCATTTCTATAAACGGACGTACTTTTAATGTGAAAAGGAGATTAGGATTTCTTTCAAGGAAACTTGGGTATAACTGTTGTGTTGTTTCAATGGCTTCTCCCATTCTTCCTGCTAATAGCAATTTCTGAATTCTTTGTCTATTCTTAACGGAAGCCAATTCTTCTAGACCGGTCTGGTCTGTAGATCTGGCAAAGGCCTCTGCTGTGGCACAGTACCCATGGTGGACTAAATAAGATGAAACCATTTTTTGTATCATGGTCTGCCATTCTCCTTCTCGGTCTCCGATAGGAAACCGGTCTATCTGTGCCTGGATTTTGGTTCTCCACTCTCACATATAGTCTTCTATATCAAACACGAAAGGATGTTGACCAAAATTGGCATCAACCACTTCTCCTGGTGTCCGAAGCCCCATGGTAGGATACAAATTTGGCGGTAGGTCAGTGAAAGCAATACCTAAACTATGTCCATTCTTGATGTAAAAGCGGGTATTGTTGATAAGATTAACACAACAGCCAATGACATCACCAGTTGTGAAAGCTGGTCCATCAGGTTGTCCAGTTCCAGAAGAACAAAATGAATGTCCATCATCCCCATGGTAACCATATGAATGCTTATCCCAACCTGGTAGTCTATTCATGTTCACACCTTGAGCAGAAAGACCAATTCCCATGTAACCATCTCTTCCCTTACAATTTTTACTTCAAAATAATAAATCCCACAGGCTGCTGGTATTGGATGCGTGGCTCGAACTGATGCTGCATCTTTTGGGGCTTTGCCATGACCTTTGTAGTGCACCCGCAGGTTGTTCTGAGAGAGGCCGATGTAGCCGACCTTGTCCTTCCTGCTCCAGGAGCGGGGCAGCGGCGTCTCCTGCTCGTTCACAGCCGGGTCGAGGCGCTTCAGCCGCGGCTGCAGCTCCTTCTCCTGCTCGTTGAGGGCCGAGTCCCCGTGCGGGAAGGTGGCCGCTGCGCTGCTGCCCGCCACCAGGGCTGGGGCCGGGGTGCTTCCGCCCGGGCCGGGGCCAGCGGCTAGGCCGAGGGGACCCGCTGGCGGAAGCGGCCGCCGAAGCAGGGGGCGGCGGGGGCGGCAGAGGGTAGAGGAGCAGGGCGGCCAGGCGAGCGGGCCGGAGAGGAGCCGGCGCTGACGGCCGGGGGCGCGGGCAGGACGACTCCGGAGACTGGGGCCAAGGCCGCTGGCTGTGGCGGCGGCTGCCCGGACATCCCGGTAGCGACTCGGCCTGCGGTCACCTCCACCTCTACTCTCCTTCCTCCTCTGCTTCCCAGGGGCGTTGTCGCTGATTCTCAGGCCTACCCTTTCTGTCTCCCATTCCCTATGTGTCCATTTATCCTTATGCTAACTATTAATAACTGCAAGATGGCTCCAAGAACATATACATACATGATCGTGAGTTGGTTCTGTTCACATATAGGAGGAATAGGAGGAAGCAAGCATCATTTCCAACAACCATAAAACAAAAATCTTGAGTTGGGGCTGGATTGGACCACTTTTTTTTTTAAGACGGAGTCTCGCTTTGTCACTCAGGCTGGAGTACAGTGGCATGATCTCAGCTCACTGCAACCTCCGCCTTCTGGGTTTAAGCAATTCTCCTGCTTCAGTCTCTCGAGTAGCTGGAATTATAGGTACCTGCCACCGTGCCAGCTAATTTTTGTATTTTTAGTAGAGACGGGGTTTCACCATGTTGGCCAGGCTGGTCTCAAACTCCTGACCTTGTGATCCGCCCACCTCAGCCTCCCAAAGTGCTGGGATTACAGGCATGGGCCACCTCAACCGGCCAGTTGGACTACTTCTAAACAAATCCCTGTTTCCAGGAGAATTAACATGATAGTTGGTTTAATACTCCCATTAATCCCCAGTTGCCAATGGATTTATTAGCTTAGCTTCGATGGGAGTTACTGGAAACAATCACCATAGATAAGGGAGTAACATTATTTTAATTTACTTGGACCAATAAAAGTAGGAATGTAGTCAGTCCTACACAAATGACATAGTTGCTGAGTAGTGGGGGAGGGCAGAATGGATGTTGAAGAGAAAATTCCTATTTCTATGTGTAAATGAGGTGAGGTTTGAGGATATGGGAGTACATAAGGATTTTGGAGGTGCCATATACCAAGATGAGAAAGACAAACCAGGCTTGAGGGAGAGGAAATACAGATGTGTCTTAGATCCTTAGGTATTCGAGTCTAGGGAACATCTGGAAATATGAGCAAGAGCTGAAGGGAGTTGTCCTGGGTGGAGTCACCCACATCACATGACATCCTCTATGTGTAGAACAGAGTGACAAACTTTCAGCCATTAGCACAGTGTCTCCGTGACAGCTCAGGAGTCAGAAGAAAAACCCCGTGATGACAGGGTTAGAACTAGTGATTCTCTAAACCGAATAAAGCCATGAGCATCAATATTCTGCTACTAAAAGAATAAATGAAGATCTAAATGAATACATTACAATTAAACATCTTTTTCATGTCTTTTGTTTGAGCGATCCTCAGAACAATGAAAGAAAGGCAGCAGGAAGAGAATTTAGAATCCCACTTTTCAGATGAAAAAGCTGAGATGTGCACAGGTTACATGGTACCTCAGATCCACCAGAGCCCGAGTTTGAAATTCATCCTCTTGATCCTAAATCTAGTCCCCATGCCCTGTAGCTCCAAACATCTATGATCAGATAAATCTGTTCCTGGAGACAATATATCTATAACCAAAGATACTCTGTGACTCAGGTCAGCACATGCTAAGACTTTTTCAGATGCTGGGGGAGGTGACTTAACTGGGAGGCAGCAGGTGAGATAGAAAGAACCTTGGTCTTTTGGTGAGAAAAGACATGTACTTTGGAGTTCCAGCTTTGGTTCTCCTGTTCTGTGTGACTTTGGGTGAGTCACTGAATTTTTCTGGGCTGCATTTTTCATTTATGATAGGTTGGATTAGATCACTTGTTCTCAAACTTAAAAAAAAACCTGAAACAATCCTTAGGTCACTGGTTGAATTCCAACTGGAAGAAGGTGCCTTACACTTCGGCCGGGTGTGGTGGCTCACACCTGTAATCCCAGCACTTTGGGAGGCAAAGGCAGGCAGATCACTTGAGGTCAGGAGTTCAAGATCAGCCCAGCCAACATGATAAAAACCCATCTCCATCAAAAACACAAAAATTAGATGGGAATGGTAGTGTGTGCCCATAATTCCAGCTACTTGGGAGGCTGAGGCTGGAGAATCACTTGAACCTGGGAGGTGGAGGTTGCATGAGCCAAGATCATGCCACTGCATTCCAGCCTGGGCAACAAAGTAAGACTTCATCCCCCTCCACAAAAAAAAAAAAAAAAAAAAAAAAAAAAATCAAAGCATTTTCTTTGAGAAAACGAACACACACACCAGGAAACATAAATAAATCCCAGCATAACTTCTCCTATCAAATGTTTCAGATGGTGAATAGGGATAATCCTCCACCCCCAGGACTATCATCTTGGAAATCTTCGATGCACTCTGCTTTGCTTTCTAGGACTCTCTGGGTTGCATCTCTTTCTAGGTAAGTCCTGGGATTGCCTACCTTCTCCCAGTTCTAATGCCCCAACTTCTCCAGGAAAATGGCCTCACAGTCCCTCTCTTCACACCTGGCCAGTGCCACAGGCAGCAGGTGTTCTCTGTTCACAGTGTTGTTACTGCATGAGCCCCATGGATAGAGCACCTTGTTGTTGAGCCTACCTGGGTTTAAAGAAGGCCTTTGTAGAAGCTCAGGCATTAGAAAGCTGCAGACACCATTGTTTATCAGTTGCTGTTAGCGGGTGAGTTTGCCAACCCTTGCTTGGGTTAAACAGGGAGTGATTAAAGAACTCCTTGAAGTTAGGAAGGCACAAAGAATAAACACTTATAATTATGAAACATCAGAGTCTAACCTTTAATTATGAGTTTCCATGTGTCAACATATCCAAGCCTCTGAACAATACTAAGATTAAAATATTATGATCTAAAGTTTTATTATCTGCATTACATATGTGAGAAAACTGAAGTTAAATTTATAAAACTCTGGCAGAAAACATAGGCATAAACCTTAATGACCTTGGCTTAGGCAATGGTTGCTTACACACAACAACAAAAGCACAAGACAAACATAGTAGAAAGGGCTAAACTGGACTTTTTCAAAATTAAGAACATTTGTGCTTCAAAAAATACTCAAGAACATGAAAACAGCCCACAGACTGAAAAAAACATTTGGAAATTATATATCTTATAAGTCACTAGTATCCAGAATATATTTTAAAACTCTTATATTTCAACAGTAAAAGGACAAATAACCAATTTTTTAATGGTAAAAGCAATTTGTATAGATATTTCTCCAAAGAGTTACACAAGTGGCCAATAGGCCCATGAAAATTGCTCAACATTGTTAGTTATTAGAGAAATGCAAATCAAAACCATAATGACATGCCATTTCATATCTGCTAGAATGGCTGAAATAAAAAAGGTCATAATAATAAGTGTTGGCAAGGATCTGAATGTGCTGGAAACTTTATACATTGTTAGTAAGAATGTTAAATCATACAGCATTTTGGAAAACAATTTGAAAGTTCCTCAAAAAATAAAAAATACAGTTATCATCTGTATATCATCTAGGTACATACCCAAGAGAATTGAAAATATATTTCTACACAAGATCTTGTATACCTATTCATAGCAACATTGTTTACAATAGACAAAATGTGGAAAAACCCAAATGTCAATCAGCTGATAAATGGATAAGTAAAATGTAACTATCCATGCAAAGAAATATTATTCAGCCATAAAAAAATGAAGTGTTGATACATGCTGCAATATGAACAAACACTGAAAGAAGCCAGACACAAAAGATCACATGTTGAATTATTTCATTTATACAAACTGTCCAGAATAGGAAAATTTGTAGACAGCAAGTAAGTTAGGAGTTGCCAGGGGCTGGGAGAACAGGAGTTTGAGAGGTGATTGCTACTAGATATGAAACCTATTTTGGGGATATTGAAAACATTCTGAAGTTAAATAGTGGTAATGATTTTATAACTTTATGAATATACTGAAAGCCACTGAATTGTATATTTTAAAAGAATGAATTCTATGGCATATAAGTTATATCTTAATACAATTAATAATTAATTCACTAAATTAACTAATGGAAAGTACAATAGGAACTCAGAAAAGATGAAACTCAAAAGTAGCAGGAGGGATCCAGAAAGGATTCCCTGAGGAGGTGACACAAGTCCTCCTCTTGACACTGAAGTCCCTGAAGCATAGTACGTGCACAATTATTTTCAAAACTAATGGCTCAGCAGAGCACAAAGGTCTTACTTCACATCCTGATACTCCTTCCCAATGCATTCCTCTCCTCTAAACAGGCTTTATGTAATAATCACAAAATCCCCCAAGCCCTATCTGCTCACCTATTTTTCAGTAGAAGCTTCTCCTACACCTAAATACATTTTTATTGTCATTTCAAAATCAATTTCTAACTGATATCTTGCACAAAAATTCTCATATTTCTCCCATGTTTAAGTTTGAAGCTGGGTGGGAGAAATTGCCCATTGGGTTGTAAGGGAAGGGGGCTACGAGAGGCTGAATGTCAGGATGTAAGGGGCATTATTCCATGACTTGTAGCATGGTTTTACCAAGCACTATGCTTCAGTATAACAGAGCCGCAGAAGCAATGCTAGTAAGGATGTCATGGCCCAATGCCAGGATCCACTGGGTGTATATTGATCTGAAGAGGAGAGAGAAGACAGAAAAAAACAGGAAGGCAGTGGTGAAAGTCTCCAAGTGGATTAATGAAGGACAGATTTCAAAACGGGCAGTGCTGGGAGGAGCAGAATCGTAACTCAAGGTCCTGAAGCAAAGAATGTTCATATTTAGAACAGGCGATGGCTTCCCCTCTGGCTTTCTGGACCTTCATATTGCTGAGGTTTGAGAAAATTCTATCCTTTTAGTTGGGGTGTTTTTGAAATGAGGGTAAAGGCACTGATTGAAGGCCATTGGAGTTTACGTGATAAATGAAGGTGGGGGCAGGGGGGGGAATGACATGACATGAGACTAGACAAGAGACAGGGTCCAGATCACAGAAACCCTTACAGACCAGGTTGAAGATTTGGGGCTGACCAGGTGCAGTGGTGTGAGCCTATAATGCAAGCACTTTGGAAGGGCAAGGCAGGAGGATCTCTTGAGCCCAGGAGTTCAAGACCAGCTTGGGTAACACAGCAAGACTCTATCTACAAATTAAAAAATTAAACATTTAGCTGGGCATGGTAATGCACACCTGTAACCTCAGCACTTTGAGAGTCCAAGGCAGATGGATTGCTTAAGCCCTGGAGTTTGAGGCTGTAGTGAGCTGTTATTGTGCTACTGCACTCCAGCCTGGGTAACAGAGGGAGAACTTGTCTTAAAAAAAAAAGGATGTGGGGATTGATGCTAAGTGTAATTGGAGGTATTGAAAGGGTTTAAGCAGAAGCTGATATCATCCAATTTATATTTTGGCATTCTGTCACAAAGAACCATCCATCCATCCAGGTGGAGTGGATGCAGGGAGTCCAGTTAAGGCTATTTATGGACATCCAGGTGAAAGATGTTGATGGCTTGGACTGTGGTGGCAGCAGTAGAAATGGAGAAAAGATAACTGGGCTTATGGGGGAAGGTAATGGGTTCTGTGTGGGATTGTTATGGTTGATGTATCTTTGTGACAGCCAAGTGGAGATTTAGAGAAGCCAATTGGATATGAGATTTTGCAGCTCAGAGAAGTCTGGGTGGGGATATCGATGTGTAAGTCTTTGCTATGAAACTGATAACTGAAGTGATGGTGGTGGATGAGGTTTCCCAGGGAGAGGTTTTAGATGGAGAAAAAAAGAGCCTGACAGAGCCTGGAGGAATCCACTATACTTAATGGCCTGGTGGGGAGGAAGAGTCT